TGCCCGCGGTCTTTTGCGCGCCTGTTTCTCCTCTCGCTCCCGCGGGTTTCGTCTTCTTTCCGGCCCGCCCGCCTCCTCTTCCCCTTTCGCTCCTGCTGCCCGCGCCTCTTTCTTTGTCTGCCGCTGCTGCTCCTGTCCCCTCCTGGTTCGCTGCGCTTCCCGCCCCGGCCCTCCCTCTCTCTTCCGCCCCCATTGCCTTCGTCCTTCCGCCGCCTCCTTTCCGTTCGTTGGGGGGCGGCTTTGTCTCGTCGGGTGGCGCCGGCCCGCCGCCGCCTCCTCGGTCCCCCCCCCCAGGCCGCGTTCGTGCGCCGTGTCCTCGGCGCCCCTTTCGCGCGGTTCGGGGGGCCCTTGCCTCCGGCCGCCGGCGCCCGCCGCGTCTTGCCCCCTCCCCTTTTTGGGCCCCTTCCCCCTTCGTCCTCCCCCCCCTGCGCTTCTTGCCGCCTCCGCGTTTGCTGCTCCCCCCCTTCCCCCTCCTCCCCCTTCCGTTCGTCCTTCCGGTGCTTCTGTTGCGTCTCCTGTCCCTCCCGTCGCGGCTCCCTTCCCCGCGCCTTTCCCCCTCGTCCTTTTTGTCCTCGCCTCTCTCGCTTCTTCCCTCCCCTGGTTTTTCGCTCCCGTTTTGCCTGCCTTTCTCGTCCGCTCGTTCCTGCGTTTCGGCTCTGCCGTCTCCTTCGCCGCTTTCGCCCCCGGTGCTCTGCGCTCTTGGGCCCTTCTGGTCTCTCGTCCCCCTTCCGCCGCTTGGCCGCGCGCCTCCGTCCCCTTCCCCGTGGCTTTGTTGTGGCGCCGCCTGCGTTCTGCCCCGTGGCCGCCTGCCTGGTGGGGGCGGCTCCTCCGTTGTGGGTCCCGGGCCCCCCCTCTCCGCCCCGCGCCCGGCTGCCCCGCCGTCGTCCGGGCGTTCCGCCCGGCGCTTTTTGTCGTGCTCGCCGCCCTGCCCGTGCCTGCCTCCCCTCCCCTCGCGCGTGCCCTGCTTCCGCCCCCCTTCGCGCTCGGGGCGCGCCCCCGCGCTCGTTCTTCCCCTTTTTCGCTCTTTCGCTTCGTCCGCTCCTCCTCGCGTCCCTTTCCTTTCTCTTCTCTTCGTCCCGCTCGCGCCCTCCCCCTCGTCTCGTCTCGCGCCGCGGGCCGCCCGCTTCCCCGCTTCCCTCTTCTTCCCGGGGTGCCCCCGCCCGGCTTCCGCCACTCTTCCCTCCCGCCCCGCCCCGGCTTCTCCCGCTCCAGCCGCTCTCTGTTCCTCCGCCGCCGTTGTGCGTGCGTCCTTCCCCTCCCGCGTCTTCCTTGGTCTCTCTCGTGCCTCTGCCGCCGTTGTGCGTGCGTCCTGTGCCGCGCCGCGTCTTCCTTGGTTCGCCTCGCGCCTCTCTTCTCCCGCGTTGCTTGCCTTTTTTCTTTGTTCCCCGCTTCTCCCCTTGCCTCCTCGCCCGGTGCGGGGGCTGCGCCGCTGTTGCTTGCTGCTTGCTGTCTCCTGCGCGCGCCTTGGCTGCCCCGTTCTGTCCCTTCCCTTCTTTCGTCCGTCCCCGCGGCTGTCCCCCGCGCGCCCGGGGCGGCTCTCTCGCGGGCGTCGTTTCGGTTGTCTGCCCCGCGGTCCCTCTGGCCCCGGGGCCCCGTGCCTCCTCGCTTTTGGGCGTCGCCGGCCGCCCTCTCCCTTCTCTCCCCTTTCCTTCCCTCGTCTCGTCTTGTCCTGTGCCGTCTCCGCCCCGCTCGCTCTCTTGCGTGCGCGCCCGGGCGCCCCCTCTCCTTCGCTCTTCTTTTTCTCTTGCTCGGGCTCCCCCTTCCTTCCTCGCTTCCCGTCCCTCCGGCTTGCTTGTCCCTCCCTCCCTCCCTGGTCGTGGTCTCGGGCGCGCCCTTGCTCGCGCCCGGGCGCCTGCCGCGTCCTGCTTTCCGCCCGCGCCGCCCGCCGGCCTCCTCTCGTGCGTCTCGTGCCTCCTCGCGTCGCGTGCCGTCCCCGGTCTGGTCTCGCCGCCTTTCCGCGCGCGCCTCTGGGCTCTCCTGTCCCCCCCCCTGCTGTGGTCCCGGGCGGCTCTTCGGGGCCGCCGTGCGTGGCGCTTCCCCTGCCGCGCGCCGGCTGCGGGGCGCCCTTCCCGTCCGGTTCGGCGGGCGGGGCTCCCCCGCCCCTCCTCTCCTTCTGCCTTTGCCCTGTTCCTTGGTTCCCCTCTCTTTGTGCCCTTTTCTCGTCTGTGGGCCTCTCTCTCTTCTTGGGTCGCTCCTCGCTCGTCTTTCCTTTGGCTCGTGCGTTGTTTTTCTCCTCCGTCCCGTCCCGCCTCCTCCTCTCCCTGGCGGCGTGCCCGCCCCTCGCCTGTCCGGCGCGGCGCGCCCCGCCCGGCTGGCTTGGTCCGCCCGCCCTCCGTTCTGTCGGCGCCCCCTCCCCGTTCCTTCTCTTCTTTCTTTTTTCGTTTCGTGCCCGTTCCTCCCCCGCCTTGTCCCCGCTTGCTCGCTCGCGCCCGCGCCGCGCCTCGTCCCCCTTCCGTCCCCGCGCGGGTTGTCTCCCCCCGCCCCGGCTGCTCGCCTTTCCTCCTCCCGCCGCCGCCGCTCTCTGTTCTCTGTTCCTCCGCCGCCGTTGCGCGTTCGTCCTCCGCCTCTCCGTCTTCCTTGGTTTCTCCTCCTTCTTTGTCTCCCCTTTCTCCCTTTCCGCGCTCTCCTTGTTTTCTTCCCCGCTTTTCCTTCCTCCCTTCGCCGCCTTCTTCCTCCTCTTGTTCCCTCCTTCCGGGCTGTTCGGTCGGTGTCCGGGCCTCCTCCCCCTCCTTCCGCCCCGCCTGCTGCTTTCCCCTTGTCCGCCCTGGCCCCGTCTCGCTCTTGTGCCCCCTGCTCCTCCGTGGCCCCCGCCGCCGGCCTGCTTCTTTTTTGTCCCTCCGCTCTCCTCGCCGTCCGCGCCTCCGCCTCCTCCCCCCCTTTCCTCCTGCGTTGCTTGCCTCTCCCCCCTTCTTTGCTTTGCCGCGCCTCGCTCCCGGCGTTTCCGCGGCCCCTCCTTTTTTTCGTGCCGCGCGGCCTCCCCCTCCCCCCCTCTCTTCCTGCCTCCTCTGCCTTCCCCGCGTTCCGTCTCGCCCGGTTCTCTCCCCGCTTGTGTTGTGGCGCGCCGCCGGGCCGGCCGGCGTCGGTTCCCTTGCTTGCGCCCTTCTTTCTCTTTCGTCGGGCGGTTTGGCGGTCCCTTCCTCCCGTTTCCCGTTGTCCCCCGCCTTCCCTCTTTCCCCCCTTGTCTCCTTTCTCCCGCGTCCGGCCTGCCCCTGTCCCTGTCTCCCCGTGTGTGCTCCCCCGCTTCCCTGCGTTCCTTTTTCTTCCCGCTGGGGTCCCTCTCTCTTCCCGCCCTCTCCGCCTTCCCCCTTGTTTGCTGCTTGCTGCCGCCCGCCTTCTCTGGTTTCCCCCCGCGCGCCCCGCCCTTTCTCTCTTCTTCGCCCAAGCCTCCACGTCCCCCTTCTGTGCCACACTGCCAGGACACAGCCTTGCTCGTCTGCTCCAGACTGCGCTCCCAGCCCCCCCCTACTCCACGGGCTTGTGCTCGCACCGCCGGCCTTCCTCCCCCCGCCCTTTCTCGTCCGGTTGCTTGTTTCCCCTCCTTGCCGCTTCTCTCTCCCCCGCAGGTCCCCGGGGGCTCCTCCCTTGCTCTCCCTGCCCCCCTTTCGCGCCGGGCGGTCGTCTTTTCTTTCCCGCCGCCCTCCGGTCGCCTTCCAGCCCTCCGGCGCCGGCGGCGGCGGTTCTCTCTGTCCTTCCGGTCTTTGTTGGCGTTTGTTCCGGTCGCCGCCCTCATCTTTCTTTGTCCCCTTCCGTCTTCCCCCCACCGCCTGCCTTCTTCGCCCCCCGCGCAGGTTGTGGGCTGGCCCCGGTCCGCCGCCTTCCTCCTCTCTGTGTAGGCGGCACGTTGCTGGCGCGGCGCGCGCTACACTGTCGCAGCGCAATGGCACGTGGTGTGGTTCCGCTTCGCGCCCCGGTTCGCACTGCATGGTCGCCGGTTCAGTACAGTACGGTAGGCCGGCGTGTTCGTTTTGGCTCGCCGCGCGGAGCGCAGCCCGCTCCCTCGGCGCTGCCCGGCCTCCCTTGCACGCTCCGTCGCGTTTCGATTGCATTGGCCCGACTTCACTCCCCCCCCAGGAGGCCCACCTACGCTCGGGGCTCGCACTGGCACCAGACCACGTACCTCCGCTATCACGCACCTTCTTGGGTTACCACGTGACACAGACCAGCGCCCGGCACTTCATTTCTTCCTGCCTCTTTCCTCGCTTGCGTCTCCCTCACCGGAGGACCACCGCCTCACTCGTGGTGCAATTATCGACGCCACCCTCTGCTCGTTCACCCTCTCCTGTGACCAGTTCCCATGCCCCCGTTCTCTGCATCACACGGGCTCACGTCCGCTACGCAGCGCGGGGCTCTTCATTCTTTCCGGGGCGCCCAGTCGTCCTTCTACTGCCCGAACGCCTACCGTTCGGGGGTCTTCAGTCCCTGTTCCGACCACCTCCCGTCTCGTGGCTCCGCCTTCGCTTGGACACCTTTCGCCCCGC